TACATACATTTACAAAAAAATTTTGAAAAAGTTTTGAAAAAGTTCTGGAACGGTATATCCGTATGGTGCCATTGGTATCTGGTCCACTGAGTCGCCACCAATATGCTTATCAAGCGGGAAAATCGGCAGAATTGGCTCTACACAACTTAGTTGGTAGAGTATCCAGGACGCTGCAGGATAAAGAAACCTTGGTTTGTGCGTTTCTGGATATAGAGGGAGCGTTCAACAACGCAATACCACAATCTCTGGAACGAGCTGCTCTTGACAGGGGAGTGGAAGCTACTATAGCGGGTTGGATCCGCAATATGCTTGATAGTAGAACAGTTTCTACTTCACTCCACGGTGATACGATACGCTTCAGGACGGGAGGTGGTTGCCCGCAGGGAGGGGTGTTATCTCCCCTGCTTTGGTCCCTCCTAGTTGACGATCTGATTGCGATAGTCGAAGCCGTTGGTGTGGAAATACAAGCTTATGCTGATGACATTGTCGTTATGGTCAAAGGAACCTGTTTGCCGAGGATATCTAAAGTCCTCCAGGTGACCCTAGATACCATTTGCGCTTGGTGTAAGGGAGAGAACCTCTCAATAAACCCGCAAAAGACAATTGTTGTGCCCTTCACCAGGAAGCGAAAGTTGGATGGACTAATCCGCCCAACTATCCAAGGTGAAGAAATTCCTTTCTCAAAGGAAGTCAAATATCTAGGAGTAATCCTAGACAAAACCCTGTCATGGAATGGACATTTGCAGGGAGTTTTGCACAAAGCTAGACTATCCTTGTGGACTTGTCGCAGTCTTTGTGGAAAAAATTGGGGTCTTACCCCTGAAAGACTGTACTGGCTCTATGTGACTGTGGTTAGACCTATGATCACATACGGAGCAGCAGCCTGGTATAGGAAAGTCCGACAGACTTCAGTTATCAGTAAACTTTCACGAATTCAACGAGTAGCTGGATTGGCAATCTCTGGTGCGATAGGCACAACGCCAACTCTAGCAATGGAGGTTCTGCTTGGCCTATCTCCTCTGCATTTGCATATAGAGAAAGTGGCTAGAACAACCATTTACAGATTTAAGCAATATGCTCAAAACTGTTCCGACATGTCCTACCAATGGGCTGCGGAAGACATTATAAGCACTGATACTGTGCTATCAATGCCGTCAGATTTGGCGGTATCACTATCAGTGATTAATGCTCGATACCAGATTGTACTGCCTGAGCGGCAGTCCTGGATCGAAAATGAAAATTCTCTGGTTCGGGCAGACATTTGCTTGTACACAGATGGATCAAAAACGCCTGAAGGGGTAGGAGCAGGAGTATACTGCCAGACACCTCGAATTAAGCAAGCCTACAGCCTGGGTACGTACTGTACTGTATTCCAGGCGGAAGTATTTGCTATTGACATGGGTGCTAAAATCCTTCTTGAAAGAGGGGTGAAGAACATGACAGTACGAATTTTCTCAGACAGTCAAGCCGCTCTCCAGGCGCTGCAAGCCGTGAAAACGGTGTCGGCTCTGGTTAATGATTGTAAGAGAACATTAAACACACTGAGTTGTGATAACAGAGTCTCTCTGATCTGGGTCCCGGGTCACTCTGGGGTTGCTGGCAATGAAGCGGCAGATAAGCTAGCACGAGATGGCAGCGCTGAAGCGTTTGTGGGACCGGAACCAGCAGTTGGTGTATCATTTGCGATGGCCAAATATAGGATTGGACTGTGGGCTGAAGAGAGACTTCGCCTACTGTGGACCAGTTCTCCTGGAATGAGACATGCTAAGGTGTTTATTAACATCGCCACTGTCAAACCCGGGAATATTTTAGGACTTGCCCGTAGTAGCATAAAAGTTCTAATGGGTGTTTTTACTGGGCACTGCCGATTAAAAGCACACCTCAACTTGTTGGGTTTAGCCGACGATGTTGAATGCCGACTATGTGCGGAGGAAGCAGAGACGGTTGAGCATGTTTTATGCCACTGCCCTGCCGTTAACCGTATCAGATTCTCGATTTTTGGGTCGCAGTTTATCTCCTCAAAAGATCTGAATGACCTTTCGCCGAGCAAGGTATTAATGTTCGTTAAGAGCATTGGACTGCACGGTGAAATTTGATAACGATATCTATCGGGGTACAATAGATCCTTAGGGTGGCGGTGCAAGGTTGGTTGGTCCGCCTACCCGATATATAGTCAATGCAATGTAATGTAATGTACATTTACAAAAGGATGATGCTTACAGCCCCTACGGCAAAGCCGAGGATGGGACTAGACGCGGAATATACTATGAAATACAGTGCCGCACTTAATTATTGGCACAGCAATAGTTTGTCATTTCACGACTGTTTTTAAACCAAATTAACAAATGGTATTATGTGAAAGTATTTTTTCTATATTGTTTAATTAATTAAATACTCTATGCAGTTATTTATGTATAAAAATTTATTTTTAATAATCTGTTTTAAATTAAATTAACAAAATAGTACTTATTTTCAACGCACAAAATTATTGGCACAGTTAAAAAACGAACTATTTTAAAACTACATTAAACTAAATTAGTATTTCGTGGGTAACCCTTTTTGTTTGATAACGGCCTCCAAACGCCTTGGCATGGAGTGAACCAAATTTTGGGTTGTTTTCTGCTCAATATTGTATCACTCCTCTAACAATGCCTGTTTCAGCTCCAACCTGTTAGTAATTGGAAGCTTTTTGACCCGTCTATCCAATTCGTCCCACAAATGTTCAATCTGGTTAAGATCTGGGGACTGCGGTGGATGTGGTAAGACATGTGGGGCATTATATGCCAGCCACATACGCACGATATGAGCCGAATGCTTTGGGTCATTATCGTGTTGAAATGTGTACGTGGGCGACAAATTTAACTTTTTGATACTTTTATGGAGGTTTTCTTTTAAAATATTTAAATAAACTGACTTATCCATAATACCGTCTATAAATACTAACTCGCCTACCCCTGCAGCTGACATGCAGCCCCACACCATCACCCCTCCTCCACCATGTTTCACTGTTGGTGCAAGATTTTCTTTATCAAACGCTGTATTGGCTCTTCTNTGGTGCAAGATTTTCTTTATCAAACGCTGTATTGGCTCTTCTCCATACTTTAATACGACCATCAGATCGGAAAATGTTGAACTTACTCTCATCTGAGAATAGTACTTGATCCCAGAATGTATTTGGTTTATTCTTATATTCCTTTGCGTACGCCAGGCGCTTCTTTTGGTTACGTACAGATATTAGTGGCTTTCGCCTCGCAACACGCGCACTATAACCAGCCTCGTGTAGTACTCTTCTGACGGTTATGGGATGAATATCTTTACCAAAATCTTGTTTTACTTCAGTAGCAATCTGTGTTGACGTTATTTTTGGATCTGCTTTGACTTTTCGGATAATCTGCTTGCGTTCCCGATCGTTTAAAGTTCGGAGACGGCCAGTACGCTTAAATTTCAGTATACGATCTGCTTGTTTGTACAAATGAAGAATTATTTTGCGCTCTGATTCTGTTGTTTCACACACTGTTGCTACACTCTCTAATAACAGAGATATTGAATTCTAAGTTCATAAATATTTAATAATTCACACCTTCGCCCCTATGGCAGATATAGCGGTGTGCTTAGATGAAAAACGTTCTGGATGTAGTACTCGAGTTTTCTGATGTTATGTCAGCCTGCTACAGCCTTTCAAAGTTTAGAAAATAATTATTTTCATGTTCATTACTTGTCTTGTCGACTGTTATTTTATGAATCTGAATCTGGGTCAGATTTAAATCTGATTAACTTCAACGACGTGAGATAAATAGATACCAGATCCATAATTATAAAACATTACGTCATTATAAAAATTACATACGATAACCTTTAGAAGATTAATTGAACCTCAAATTATTATTAAACGTTATTTACTCGTCAAATTCAGTCTTAATAATGTTGGTTAAAGGTAAAGTTGCGCTTATATCTGGCGGTGCGTCAGGAATTGGATTAGCGTGTGGAAATCAATTGCTAAAAGACGGCGCTTTGGTAAGTTTAATATAACAATGAAATAAAAAGGATTTAATTTTTGAAATTAAATTTTAAAGGGAATCGCTTTGGTGGATATTAACGAACAACTCGGAATTTCAGTTACGGACGATTTAAACAGCAAATACGGACAAGGAAAAGTAATTTTCATCAAGACAAATGTATCAAATAAAAACGAATTCGAAGAAGCTTTTAAAAAAACCGTTCAATGTTTTAAACAGTTAGATATTTTTCTCAATAATGTTGGATTATTTGATGAAGTGCATTACGAAAATTGTTTAAATGTTAATTTGGTAAATGCATATTAATTTGGTATAAGGTAAGTATTAATTAAAATTATATACTATGGTGATTATTTATTATTTATTCGTTTTTACTAGTTTCGGTTACATTACCGTCCTCAAAAGACCTGTCAATAACTTTCTATAAACGTCGGGAAATGGATGTTTATTAATTATTTTATCCATTCATGCATTAAATTATAACTATCTATTGTAAAAATGAACATTGTCACATGTTTAATAACCAACGAATTGATTTATTAATGTTCATTTTTACAATAGATAGTTATAATTTAATGCATAAATGAATAAAATAATTAATAAACATCTATTTCCCGACGTTTATAGAAAGTTATTGACAGGTCTTCTGAGGACGGTAATGTTACCGAAACTAGTAAAGACGAATAAATAATAAATAATCACCATAGTATATAATTTTAATTAATACTTACCTTATATTTTACAACGGTGATATGGATAAACAAATACATAGAATATAAATTTGGTGTCGAATTGATATATTTACGGTGATTGTTGTTTTAGCTCGGTTGTATTCATGGTTTAAAATTGGCCATCGATGAGTATCTTCCAAAATATAAAAGCGAATCCACAGCAATTATAATAAACACATCATCGATGGCCGGGCTAGTGCCTATTGTAGGCGTTGAAATTTATAGTACCACCAAATTCGCTATAATCGGTTTGACCAGAAATTTCGGCTGTGATTATCATTATAAAAGAACTGGTGTGAAAGTTATAGCTTTATGTCCCGGACCAACAGATACACCTATATTAGATAATGTAACCACCACAAAGTTAGTTTATAGTGACCGATTACAAACTCTTCAAGAAGCAGCAATGAATGCGCAAAAGTAATGAAATTAACTTATTTTTTCTTAAATACTATATTAAATACAAATCGTTTTTATTATTAATTAATAATGATTTTTTAGGCCTGAAGATTTAGCGGAGTGCTTTATTCGGATTATTAAAACAGAACGTAACGGTTCTACTTGGCTTGTTAACGAGGGAAAGGAAACTGAAATTGAATATCCAAAATTGGTATCTTTTTAAATTTGCTTATCTAGAATCCTCTTTGGATATTTGTATATTTTTGTTGATTAAACTGAAAAAGAATCTGTTTTATATTATTACAGATTTATAATCTTACAATAACTTTAGTTCAACCGAAAAAATAGCATTCAACGATGCAGCGTATATTATCTACATTACAACATGCTATGTTGTTGATCGTATTATAACAGTTGTTCTTTTCTCTTCACGTTTATTTGCGCTATGAAAAGTAAAAAAAAGATGAAAGAAAAAAAGATAGAAATTCGGTCTTTAAAAATATATATTTGACTCAATCAACTTATTTATATCCAAACAAAAAAAAATAATCGGAAAATTTTAAAACAACCTTTTCTAACAACCATAAAATTAATTATATCGATTAATCCAAACCATTTTACAACCCACTTCCACCACAAGAATTATGAACTGAAAAAAAAAATAGGTAAATAAAATAAATAAAAAAATTATAAATTTTAATTCGTTTAGTTTACCAAAAACAACATCCGTTATAACTACTCCAAGAACATCATTAATCGTTTTTGAAAGGTCATTAACCAATCCTGTAACGGTTTCAATCACTTTTGAACTAGCTTTAGCAACAGCAGTTAATAAACAACCCAAAAGATGTTCTAAAAAAATCATTTGTTGAAAAAAATTAAATATAACCAAATTTATTTAAAAGAACTTACCTAAATTGGGGATTAAACATCTTAGTGTTTGAACAACAAATTTAAGTAATCCAACAACAACCTTAACAACTGCTGTTAATGCAGCATCAACTGAGAAAAAAATTACAATCAATAATATAAGAACATAGAGAAAGTGATATTTTTCTTACGTAATTCATAAACTAAAGTGATTACGGTACACAACACAGATTGTATCGCTGTGATTAGAGTGGTTACGAGTGCGCCTCCAATCTCTATAATAGCATTTCCTATAATAAATTAAAAGTCAATAAATTACTTTTTACGCCGTAATTATATAAAAAAATTTACCAAAAAGAGAAACTTGTATAAGAAGTCCAGATAATTGTCCACAAGAATTTTGAATTTTATCCTTACAATCGGGCGTTAATTCCGTTTGTGTAGCTAAAAAAAAGCAATTTTAAAAAAATATGTAGTTCAAGATACTGGAATTTGATAAAGATGTTAAATGTCTCGTTTATTCTTGAGAACAAAGGAGTTCAAACTGTCGTCCCTCAATAATGTATTAACTTGGACAACATATTTATAAGGTTAAATTTGAGGTAATTAAGAGGTATCTAAATAGATAGAGGTATTTAAACTCGGTGCGAGGATTCGTACCAGTTTGTTCAGTGTTCGTTATCATAGTAAGTTGTGTAAAGAGAAATGTTTGCTGCTCGAGTATCCATCAAGCATAACAGTACCACAGGTTTTGCTCCTGTGATACTCACTGAATTCGCATATACTATATGATCAGAAAATAAACCTTCTAACAAAAATTGTTAAATAACCCAGTTAAATACCTCCTCACCTGCTAGCAATGATACATTTAATTCTCAGAAAGGTTTCTTGTACAATCAGAGCACAAGGATATATATCAAAAAGATTTGAAAGCCACAAAGGTACAGTGTGTTAATTAATTATTAACACACTATTAACACATTATTAACACATTATTAACAGTACTCGTTTGAGTACTGTTATAGCTGTCATTATCGTCGCGAATTACAAAAAGATCTTTACAGGGTTGAAAAAACGAGGCGATGACGATAAATTTTATAACGATCAAGTATATGCCGGCAAAAGCTAGCGGTGGAAACATATCAGAACATTTGGAAGTTGACTTTATCGTATCATGATACTATACTACATGTTACTAGTTTCGTACACTTTGGATCCCTGTAGAATAATAAAAATTCGTGTAGCGAATTAATCCAAGCCACGAAATCCTTCCATGGCCTTAAAAATAATTTCACATGTAAGTTACCAAGAAAAATCAAATTAGTTCTATGTATATAAGACCTTAATACGACCAGTATGTAACTATGGGCCAAAAAGGTGAACCTTAATGCAGAAAGACCAAGAGGCACTAAGAAGATTCGAGAGAAAAGTACTTATAAGAATAAATGATGCTGTTAATGACAACGCTGTCTGTCATCAGCGTTACAACTTCGAGTTGTATCTTTTATATTGCGAACCAGAGATACTTAAATTTATCAAAGGTTTTCTTATTCTATTCTTAGTTTTTTTGTTTCATATTTGTCCAACAGATTTTATTACGTCTCTTATAAAAACGCAGTATCAGATATGTTGGGGATTGATTCAGGGGTTCCGCAGGGTAGTAATCTGGGACCTTTGTTATTTTTGTTATTTATAAATGATTTGCCCCTGGTAATTAACTCAACCAGATGCTTACTCTTTGCGGACGATCTGAAGATATTCACAACTGTACACGACTTAACTGACTGCCGGTCCTTACAGTCTGATTTAGATAACGTATTTAATTGGTGTCGGCTCAACAAGCTCCATTTTAATGTGTCTAAATGTGAGTCAATGACGTATACATTGAGGAAGAGGCCGATAGAATTTGTATATAAAATAAATAATGTGAATTTGAGGTGTGTTGTTAAAAAGAGAGACTTGGGTGTGTTGTTTTCGCCTGGTTTATGCTTTGCTGAACATATTAAAGCCACAGCAACCACAGCTTTGCGTCTCTTAGGATTTGTCATTAGAAATGGGTACAGTTTCTCAAACTTACAGACGCTGCAATTACAGTTCAATTCTTTAGTGCGATCTAAGCTGGAATATGCGGTAATAGTATGGGATCCCGGGTCAATTCTTTATTCTAATTTAATAGAAACTATTCAAAATAAATTCATTAGGTATCTCTACTACAAAAAATTCCGTGTTTTCATTGGTTTTAGATCGTACGAATTTGCACGCAAATTATTTAAGATCACCAGGTTGTCTCTCAGAAGAAAAATTATATCACTCTGTTTTCTGTATAAAATGTTGAATAATAGTATAAATGCTCCATTAATATTAGAAAATATTGGTTTCTATGCGCCTGCATATTGTGGTAGGCTAAAGAATCTTTTCTATATTCCTCGGTTTTCAACTGAACTGAGACGAAATTCTCCTCTTATTAGAATCCTTTCACTGTACAACACACTGTCGGCTTCTTCCTTCATACCTCTGTTTGACATTGGTATTAGATCGTTTAAACAATATTTGACACCTTTGATAAGTGCTGCAGCCACCCAGTAGCCAAACTTGATTTTTGTCATTGAATTCTGTAATTTGTGATGTAATACTGTTCATTTTTTAAAGTTTTGGTTCAATATATCCTCCGCGCGTTCTGTGATGGGTTAATTAACATTTATGCTTGATCTTTGTTGTATTGCTTGTTTTTATTGGTTATATTATGTACTAGTAGACTTTAGTTCTGAAATTTCTAATTAGGGGCAACCCTGTAATTTCGGAAGTAAAATAAAGTAAATAAATAAATAAAGTACAAAGATTGAGATGGGTTGGTCATGTAGCCAGAATAGCACCAAAAGAATTATCTCTGATCAAGATGTAAGGCACACCCAAGTATGATGGCAGATAAGCCTTGTGTTGGCTTATTTCACGTATAATGTCGTCAAAAAAGTGTTTCATAAAGTGCTCAAAGATTTCTATTTTCTCACATCCCGAATTTGCGCCAACAAAATTATGAACAATGCTGAACATTGCGAAAACAATCGAGTTTGGCTTTGGTCTATGAGGCACTTTTTATTTTGCGTATTTATACGATATTGTTTATTCCGGGCGTATATAGGGGATCTGGACGAAGGTTAAAGAGGAAATAGAACGGGGGGTGAAAAAGCTACATTTGTCGGTGGTGGTAACAGAGGCTAAAGAGTGAAAAGGAATGACGATATCGATGGGGACACATTTTGAGAAGGATTTGGAGTTGAATGTTGAGAAGACGAACATTACACAATTCTCTAAGGGCAAGAAGCAGAAAAGGGAGAAGTGGGAATGGAAGGGGGAAGATGTGGGTTTTACATTTCGAGTGGATAATAGGCTCATAATAGGCAGAAAGAAAGGCAAGTAGATTATTGCGGCAGGTATAGAGCTAGGAGTACAAACATTTGGAAAAGATTTGTGTAGGCGGAAAATAATGTTTCATAGATTGGTGAGGAGTGTGATAATGTATGGAGCGGAAATGTTGATTGGTGATGATGGAAGAGATCCAGGAGAGATTGGAGGTGGCTCTTGGGGTTAAGCAGGAAATCTTCGAGATATATAGGAGAGAGAAGTTGAAGCTGGAGAACATTACAATGAAAGCCGACAGAAAACCAATAAAGTACGAGGATGAGCTGGACTTTAACATTTTGGGAGTGTGTTGGAGGAAGGTTAAGACTGGAGAAAATACAAGGACGGAGTTAGAGAGTAG